TATTGTGAAAAAGCCTGGGGCGCTCTTTGCCATATTTTTCGTCTATCGAGCAACCCACACTTTTTCACAATAATACTAGTATTTTTTGTTCATTATTATTTTCAACTTATATTAAGAATCATTTTTTACTTTTTAGTTTGATATGCTTTAAAAGCGTGTTTTTTTTGGGTTTTTTTAAACTATATTTATTTTTTACTTTTTAGTTTGATATGCTTTAAAAGTGTGTTTTTTTGGTTCTTTAAACTATATTTATTTTTTAATAAAGCAATCGCATATCTGCCTAGTATATTCCAGGACGAATAGATAAGGATTGAGACAAGAGCTTGTGTGAGCAAATCCAATTTTTGGCAGCCAATGTCAGTTACGCGGTTTTGCAGAATCACGATACGCGGTTTTGTACTTTAAACGACGATATACTTATGAGCAGGGAACGGATTTTTAGGACCTTAAAACCTATAAAAAAGACGAATTAAAATAACGAAATAGGTTAGAAAAGGCAAAATAAAATTGCGAAATAGGCAGGAAAAGGCAGTAGAATTCGCAAAAAAGGCGAAAGACAAAAGAGGCATTAAAAGACAAAAACTGAAAAATAATCAAAATATACATTTAGTTTAGAAATGTTTATTTTACAAGTATAAAAGAAAAACTATGAACTAGTTTCATTATTTGAAAAATTTCTACTTTGAATTTTTGACTATTTTCTCCTTTCCGAGTTTTAAACTCACAAAACTTTAATCACTATAGTTGCAGTACCATTGAACCACATATGCATTTTGAAGTTTTCTGGCAGCATTTTCATTCGATTTTTCCGAAGAAAGGCCTTAAATGTACTAAACGGATGAAATTTAAATATCTTAATAAAATCAAGTTATTGTGCCATTTTATAAGTTATTGAGATCAGTATTCAATAAAAAACGATAACATAAAATCTCTTACTTCCAGATGAAAGCTTTGACTTCAAACACGATCGTCCATTTTTGCTTTCAATGGCAAATCGTGGTAAAAACACAAATGGGTCGCAATTCTTCATGTAAGTTTCATCCAAAATAAGTAATAATTTCTTAAAAAAATTGTAGCTTTTAGTATTAACACTTAACATCTTTTTGCAGCATCACAATTAAACGATAATTTTTGTTTACAGATATATCTATATTGATTTGTTATTGTTATTATTATTGATTTGTCATCATCTAGCTAGCCACTAATCCTAGGTCATCACAAAGTAGGGAGTAAAAGAATCAAACGCTGTTTTGAGCACTGTTGATGACAAATTTAGTGAACAGCTGTCGGCCTCCTTACACTGGTATTGCAATCGTCGCGTTGGACGTTGCCATAGTATGTGGTTGCTTTCTTGGTAGCCGCGCCGCATCAGCTGGAGAGGTTTAGAGATGTATGGGCCTCCACCACTGTCATGCTACCCTAAACTACTATGTAACTTTGTGTGGGGAGTGAGGGCAATAGTAGGAAGCGAGACAGCAGCAGGAATTTCCAACTACGTCCTACGTAGACAAATTCAATTGCTTTGTTGCACCAAATCAAAACCAAATGAAATCGAACTCAATGTGTACACTGTGTAAAGCATATTTTTCTTCTTCTGTTTTTCATTGTAGTACTACACAACCCGCGCCTCACTTGGACAAGTAAGTTTCTGCGTTGCCTAATAAATAGCATTTAGTTATACCAATTTATTTTTTATTTTTAGCGTCCACGTGGTATTCGGTGAAGTAATATCCGGACAAGACTTAGCACGCCAGTTGGAGGAATTGCCGGTGGATAGAAATTCGCGCCCTTTGCAGGATGTCACCATATCAAATTGCGGAGAACTCGTCCGTCAGGTTAAAGGTAGCAAGATCTACATATTTATCTATCAATAATCAAATAAAGATGTATGTAATATATGTCAAAAATTTTTAGTTAAAAAGGATAAAAAGAAAAAGAAGCGCTCTGAAGCTTCTGCTGAAGAAAACTCCGATGCCACCTCTGGAACAGAAAAACGTTCCAAACGTAAGGAGAAAAAGAAGAAAAAGGATCGCAAGCGTGAAAAATCACATGACCGGTTCGAAAATATTTTTCTGGATTTAGTGGATTTTAAATAACTGAAAATTTTATTATTTAAAGAACGGAGTCGGAAAATAGCCAGACAGAGGAGAAAGTAAATGAAGATGACGACGAGGGAGAGTTGCATCCACTTGTATCCCTTACTAAAATCGATCCTAATGAAATACCAGAAGTAAGTCTAAAATCGTACCTGTGTACATAAATAGATGTAAATACCTACAAAACAGAATATCATTCAACTTTAGAGCGATTCATCTAACCTCGAAAACTTGCTTAATTTTATATGAAAAATCGGTTTATTTATGAGGTTTATACAGTTACGAGGCATTTATGAGTTTTGATGAATACCCTCATTGTTGTGTTTATTTTCAAACAAGAGATCGTTAGCTTGCAAAAAAAACTACAAGATCAAAACATTTGTTTTTAAATCTGATAACACAGAATAAAAGTCTTCAAAATACTATTTAATCAGATTCTAAATCTTTTTGAGGTATTATCTATACTATATATCATTTAATAATAAATGCATTATCCATGTGCAAATTCTTTTCATTTCATATGCTGTATTTTTTAATAATGCTCCTATTCAATAGGTCTCGAATAAATTTTTGCTACGAGGTGACCGTTCAAACCGGTCTCAAGAGCGTGAACACAGGCGCGACTCACGCAACGAAAGATCAAGTGAGGTCAGACCCACATTTGGTTGGTCAAAAAAACGGGTACCGGTCTCTCGTAGTGGACGCATTATCAAAGGCCGTGGAGTTTTCGTAAGTTAATGAGTTCAAAATCACATACCTAAGCATATCAAAAATCTTTTTTTCTTAAGCGTTTTCGTACGCCGTCTCGCAGTCGTTCTCGTAGCACGACTCCACCGCATTGGAAACGTGCCCAGAATCGCACTATTAAACTGTCAGATTTGGAGCGTCTGGAGGAGGAGAAGAAGTTACGCGACGAAGAAATCAAACGTCGTGAGGTTGAGCGCAAAAAGCGTCACGAAGAAATGAGGCGAGATCCAAAAAAGTCGTTCTTCGAGTTGTCAAATGCAAGTTCATATGGTGGTAGGTATAGTGAGTCGCCTGACCGTAAAAATCGAGGCAAGGACAATTCCAGTAATGCACGTAAAGATAAGTATGATGACAGACGTTCGGACAAGGACAAGACTCGTGAAAGGGGAGAACGAGAAAAAGAAAAAGAAAGTGACAGGGAAAAAGATAAAGACCGCCGTAGGGAACATAGCGTCGAAGCGAAACCATTACCTAAACGCAAAAAGTCAATGGATATGAATGCTCTGGACTACGAACATCAACCAGAAAGCGAAAATGAAGGAGACTCCACTGAGAAAGAATCCACTTCGAAGTTGAAGGAAGGAAATTCAAAACAAGACTGTCATACTTCTCATGAAACCGAAAAAGATCGGAAGAGGGACGAGCGGGATAAGAATAAAGCTAAAGAAAAGGATAAGGAGAAGGCACAAGAAAAGTCTAAAGAGCATGGAAAGGAAAGGAATACGGGCAAACATGATGACATTGGTAGAGATGACGAGAAAGGAAAAGATGATCGCGATAAGGAAAAAACAAAATCCAAATTCGATGTAAAACAGAGGGAAAAGGATAATGAAAAAGATCGGAATCGTTCAGGAAGTCGTTCGCGGTCTAAGCAACGCTCACGTTCGCGTTCGCGTTCGCGTACATCGCGTTCACGTTCCCGTTCATTTCGACGCCGCTCGCCAATCCGAGATCGTCGAGATAGATTTCCGATGCGTAGAGGTGGTTTTCGTTCACCACCAAGGCGCGATTTTCGCGATTTCCGCGGCAGACGTGGCGGCAATCCGTTTATGGATCGTCGACGTCGTTCTGTGGAGCGTTATCGTAATCGCTTGCCGCTATCACCGATTCGCACTCGCCGCGCGACGCCGTCACGTGATAGACGGTCACGGGATCGTTCAGTATCGCGAAGTCGTTCTCGTTCGCCACGTCGCGATCGCATAGGTAAACGTACAGGCGACTCTCGAGACCGCAGCCGCGACCAGCGAACGCGTTCTAAGTCTCGTGACCGACGCGCAAAGTCAAAGTCACGGGAGCCAGGCACACGGACGCTTGAACCACACACCAGATCCAAATCGCGCTCACCCGTTCGACAAAAGCGAAACAGACGTTCCGGCACACGTTCACCAAGGCGTTCTAGATCTGCAAATAACGGTCGAAAATCGAATGACCAACGTTCGGCATCAAAGAAGGAGAGTACTTCAGAGACGAAGACTGGTTCCAGTAGCAATGCCATCGAAGATACCGATAAAATGCGTGAAAAGATGTTAAAACGTGCTGAGGCTGCGCAAATGCTGAAGGACCATATGCGTAAAGAAATAGCGAGGGAGGAAGAAAGACGTGCGGAGAAACAGCGACTGGATGACTTAGAAAAGGAAAAAACGGCTCGAGAACTTGAAGAATTGGAACGTCTTAAGCAGGAGACACTGCAAAAGCTAGAAGAGCATGAAAATCTTAAAAAGCTTACAGTTATAGCTGCCGTAGCCGAAGCAATCAGCTCTAAAGATCATGGCAAAGAAGAAAAATCTAAAGAAAAGAAAAAGAAACGCAAGAAGTCGAAGAAACGTTCACGTACCTCTGGCACTGAGTCCAACTGAGATTTGAATAAATTGATGTCTACATGTACGTAGCAAAAATGCATATTTACTCGTAAACTGAAATTATTGGATATTGGATGTACGTTTGTATGTATAAATTTAGTTTATTTTACATGCATATTTATGTATGTACATTAAAAGGATCTTGTACACTTTCGCGTGTATGCAACAATTTGAAGTCATATAAGCATTGAATGATGTAAACTAAATACATATATTTCATTCTCCCATTTTTTTGAATGCTTAATATAATTGAAATATTTTAGCCAAAACACAATTACAAATGTTTTATTCATTAATGGTTGTTTAAGGAGATTATAATTATTAGGAGGGGATACGGAAAACATATTCATACATATGTATGTACATATCTGGTATGTCTAATATGCACACATTGGCACATACCTACTTAGCCCATGATTATTAATATACAGAATTATTTCAAAATTTAAATTTTTCAAGGAAAACGAGTTTGTTCAATTCATTTAGTTGGTATACCAAAAGGCAGATGGAAAGACACTTATCTTCGATATTTTATTTTGCTATTCTCCTTATCAAGCTTTTCAATTGCATGATGAAAACTCCAAAATTGTAAATTTAGAAATACATCTCCATATTATTAAACGCATATGTATTCATACATATATTTTATTTAACTAACTATGGCAACACCACCTCAGAGGAAATTTATTCATATTTAAATGAAGCCTAGTTTTTGTATTCGGCTAGTTTTTTATACACGAACAACATCACGTTAGTCTCCATATCTGAGATTTGTGCCTCAGTCAGCGATGCTTGCTTTATTTTACGGTCTAGTAGCTTAAACATCAACGTTGTGCTGTCGTCCTCTGTCTTTAAGCTATACATGTTTGAATAAGACGGGATAGTGGTTTCTATGAACTTTGGAAACATTGTTTCTGTATTCCTAGCTTCTGCTTCTTCCGATTCGAAATCTTGAATTGATTCTTCTTCCATTATTTCATTTCCGATAGTTGCTTCGTCGATCTTTGAAACACCCTCTAATTTAGTTTCAACATCTTCTTGCATCGATTGTGCTGGCGCTGGTGAATCAGCGTAATCACTTTCATTATAGCCGGTATCCTCCTGATTTTGAAGGCTCCTGAAATTATAAACAAAATTATTTTCGAACTCACAAAACTAGAAACATAACGAAGCTTAAATTAAGAAAGCGACTCGTATTTCATTACAGTTTTTGGTTAAAGAAGGGTGATAAAAATTCCATTTGATTCATATAACGCCACACTTTTCGCTTCCCGTCTCCAGAAATTTCCTTCGGATACTGCACATCGCGCTTTTTGCATCTATTAAAACAATCACGTAAATGTTTCCATTTTTTCTTGCATTCTTCCACTGCAAATGGAAGACAAAAGTTAAGAGTTTAATTAAAAAAATATATGCACAGAATCCCCCGGTTAACTTTACGATTCTTTTACTTAACATCCGAATGGCCAATTAACCGCGGAAACACTGTACTTTGAAAGAATGGTACATACAGTGCGTTTCAAAATAAAGTATTGCTATGAAAACTCACAAAAGAGGATATACCTATTAATGAATGGTATATTTTGTCCAGTTCCCATTGTTGTCAATAATAGGTTGGCATCTTCGGGTACAACTTTTGCTTGATTCCTGAACGTTACGTTTCCACTTCATTTTCCAGTTTCCATGCCATGCGGAGCCGGGCGGCTTCAGCGTCTCAGATCGTTGTCTTCTTTTAAAATCCACCTAATATTTTGCGATCCATACAACATTTTAGCAGATTTCAATAAAGCTCTTTGGCACTGTTTGACCATCATAAAGGCAATCAGTTTACCGAATCCTCTTAATAAGAACAATAATAAGACATTTATAGTGTTTTACTGTACGTTGCAGTATCCTCACCTTTTGTTTAGACTAAGTTGAAAACTACAAATGACTGATCTGAGAAGACCACGTTACCCTAACATCGCTCCAAATTTTTCTTAGCCCATTTTTAACAGATTTCCACGCGTTTTTTACCTAAAAACGGCTTGGAGATGGTACTGCTATAATGGAATTGTTGTTTGATTCCAGAAGTCTGCGTAGAATAGCAGCCGTTCCCACTTTAATTCGCTTTCGCTACAATTTTTCTCGTGTTCGCTGTATGCTAATCGTAGGAGTACTATCAAACAGCTCAACTAAGCTGGTGTCTTAGTCCTTTGCCAGATTTATACACTCCGCACTTCAAATCATTTAACCCACTTCCTAACAAATTATACTAATGTGTTTGTATACATATTTTGGGACTTTATCGGATATCAAAACGCTTTTTAAAACCCTAACTAAATTTTCTATGTTGACATTTTCGAGACACTTCCATGCTACAAATAATTTGGTGTTCTTGTATACTTTATTTTGAAAAGCACTGTACGTATGTATATATATTAATGCAGTTATGCCATTCCTACCATTTGTTCCGCACTTCTGGGCGACCCTTTGCCATAGTTTATCTTTAAAAGCAACGTCCTTGTAGCTTAGCGCTTGCATATTGTATAGGCATTCATATTTCTTTACCTCGGCGATTAATCTTCTTTCAAAATTCATATTTTTTAAAGAATTCTTAACTTACAAACACAATTAAAGCGACTGGCGACTAGCGACAAGATTTAATGAAATAATTGACTTGACAGCTGGCGTATGACCACATGCGCTACCTACAATGACAGATGTCAGCGTGTTGGGTTGCCAGATTACATACATATATGAAAACTATACTCGTGGTCTACACTTGGCATTTTATATATCAAGTTAAACAACTCTGTTAAAGCTGGTACATTAATCAACGATTTTCTTGCTGGTGTTATTTGTTGAAGCCTGCTAGATAAGTCATTCTATTAACCCTTTCATGTGCTAACTAGAGTCCGACCGATTAATCGGCATCGGCATCGGCTAGAATCCACCAAAACAATCGGCATCGGCATCGGCCTCGGCCTCGGTCGTTTTTGGCCGATTCTTAGCCCATTCTTTTTACTTTTTTCGAACTTCATTCCGTGTTATTTTTTTTTTTTTTACCTTTTAAATTCCTTTAAATCTTCAAATATTTAGCCATCTGAGTCCTCATGTCATAAATGTGTTCTCATGTTACGTTTTAACCGACTTTCAAAAAAGGAGGAGGTTATCAGTTCGGAATATTTTTTTTTTATGTATGTTACCGCATAATTTTGGACCACGTAAACCGATTTCGATAATTCTTTTTGCATCGGAAAGGTAGTGTCTCAGAGGTGGGCCCCATACTAATCTGGTTTAGATTCGATCATTGAATCATGAAATATATTTATATATATTTTTTTTTTAAAGTCGTTTTTTTTTGCTAAAAATTGGGAAGACACGTTTCAGCAAGTTTTGGCTATTTTTTTTTTGCTTAAAAAATGTTATTATTTATTTATTTTATTTTTTTTTTAATATAGCTTGCTATCTAAACCCTGTAAATCAAAATTTCAAACTTTGCAGAACATTTATAAAAATTCGACGAATTTTAACAAATGTTCATCAGAGTTTGAAACTGTCTAATCAGCCTTTATATAACTTTTTTGAGTATGCAGTTTTTTTTTTTTAAATTTTAGTATAATAAAGGCCTAATCGTTGATTTTGGACAATTTTTTGTTAGCAACACCGTCCACAAAAGAGGGTCCAAAAAAATCAGCGGTAAGTCCTAGCTACTTAAAATTTGCACTTCGTATAATAAAATTGAATGGGCTACAAAGCTGCATGCTCAGAATGTTTATAAAAAAATTACATTCTGCTGATATACATACATATTGTGAGGGCAACGTGTTATAGATACATACATATGTACATATATTAGTGTGTACCTTACATATTTATTTGTATGGAGACATTTTTTTTGCAAGCTTAAATTTTATATAAAATAGGAAAAAGAGCCTATAATTCAGTAAAAAGGAGCGTATTTGCTTCGTACATACATATGTGCCCACGATACAAAGAAGAAGGTAGTTTCACTGAACAACTTTTTGATTAAAATGGAGATTTTTGACAATTGCTCAATTTGAATTTGAAGCGGCGTTACCCAATATAAGTTTTTTGGTGGAGAGGATTTTATATCATAAATTTGTGAGTGTAAATAAAATAGTTGTATTAACATTTACCTTTAAAAATAATTAATATCCTATCTTAAGAACGTTTAAATTTTACATTAAATTCAATAGCTACTTGCCAAAATCTTTGTTTTTACGTTGATAAAATTTTAGTGAACATAATTTAACATTTTTTAGTTTCACCTGAATATTTCACAATGTAGCTAGCGACTGTTACAGTTTTCTATGTCGGATACTATTGTTTCTGATATAATTCAGACACTGAAATTACACATTTCGATATTGTCTTTGTCCATGTCTTTCAAGTAACTTGAAAACGGAATTTACTTTGGGCCCATTGGCCTCATGACTTTCAGAGAAGTTGGTATTATCCAATTCTAGTATATTTCGACAATATCGTGAATATATTTTACCGTTCAATATTGGAGGGGGTGCGAAACAACGTTGATGATTTATTGTTAGTATGAAAACTAGACACACAATTATCATCTTATTGAGCATTAGACTGTTTGTCTTTCAAAAACAAAAGGGGAAATGTTTGGTTATTTATGCAACGGTTTTGGGGGAGCGGATACGGAGGGGGGATTCATTGAAAAATAGATTAAAACTAAAAATTAAATTAAAATGTAAGTCCAACTCCCGCTACGCTGAGTTGTTATTTGAGTTATTTTTTACAAAAAGGTCCATATTTCAAACCGAATTAATTCATAAATTTGTATCTGAAAATTTTAAATCTTTATTTTAAACTAACGTTTAATTGTTTGACCACGCGTGTGTGCTAAAATTTTTTGCTTTGGGTTATGCCTTTGGACACAATGGGGCGTATTCGTAAAAACCAAGCAAATGCTTTTTCTTCAAATTTCAGAAATTGTACTCAATTTGTTCAAATAAATTTAAGTGAAAGATATATTTTAAGAAAAAGAAAGTGCTCAGTTTTTATGCATACGGCCAGTGATCGGACTGCAAAAAAATTCTCTGTGGTAGAATCTGATAAAAAGGTGATAAATTTCAAAAAAAATGTGGTAGGTCTCTGGATTTGGATCAAACTTTGTACAAAAATTAAAAAAATTCTGCAAGGTTTCACCTAAATTGCAAACTTTTTAATAAGACTCTAAAACAAATTTAATTTTAGCATAATAAAGTGCAAGATTGAAGTTGCTAATAATTGCGTTGCGTTTTGGCAATTTTTTCCTTGACAGTGTAAAGCAGTGTCTTCCATATCAAGATATTTTTTGAACATATTTTAAGAGATTTCTGCAACCTTGCGGGGTGCTGCCAGCTTTTATTTTTGCCACATCACGAAGTAGCGAATAAATGTGGCACGTTCCAGATACAGCTAATTGTGATTTGCCGATTTTGCCAATTCTCAAGAAAAAGTAAATAACATCTCAGAAACTTTAGATGCATTTAAATTTGCTAATACTTTTGCAAAAGTCGCCGTTTTTTAACATTTTCGCTATTAATTTTTTTTATGAATCATATGTATTGCAATTTAACACAATCAAACCACGTTTCCTATCGAAAAATTGATTACTGAGAAATTTACTATTTTACAGTTTATTTTATCCTGCCATTCGGCTTTGTTTACTTTTACTTGAGAAATTTCATCGTCGCCGAGAATGTGGAATCTTGTATTATATCATTCTTGTTACCATATAGTGTTTAGTGTTGGACAATTTTTGCTCTTAAAATTAAGAAAATTATGTCGAGCAAAAATAAAAATAATCAAAAACGCGTCCAGTCCGATCACTGCATACGTCCCAATAACCCAATATATATATATGTACAAGCAAAATACCTTTTGCTTGTTGAAATTTCGATTCTAAGAACAAAATGTTGGTAAAAAAAATAATAGCAAAATTTTAGGGATTTTAGATATTGGGTATGATAGCATGATTCAATCAAGGTGTGATTGACAACTCAGGTAGGCTCTCTTTTAAGGAACTATTATGCCAAAAAATATAAACAATCGATTCAAAATTCATAGACAATTTTTTCAATTTGATTTTATAGGATGATTCTTCTGAGAGCAATGTCAAATTCAATCACACTTTGTTGAATACATTTTGGATTCAATAATAAAAGGTTTGCTCAAAAAAAAGTTTTCTCGCTCCCTCTTGACAAAATCGGCACCCTTAGCAAGGCACAGTGTGTGGGTTCGTGTGTGTGAGCAAAGCTTTTGTAAGGGAGCAAAGGGAGTGTCAAAACTCTAATGTCACTAATGAGCAAACCTTTAATTATTGAATCATGGTATGTTAGCACGAAATGTCACAATCTACGTAATTGTCAGGTTGTTGATATGGCGACGAAAAAGTGACAATGGAACTACCTTCTTTTTTGTATCATGTATCTATCAATGGATTTTCGCACGCTGATTTTGTCAATTCTGGAAGTTTTAGAGCCCTTTCTCTTTCTTTTTCTTCACCGTTTTGAAAATTTTTCGCAAAGCCATTAACCTTTCGAAGGTTTCGCCAAATATTATAACATTGGTAGTTTTTATACCCGAGCGCACTTGTGCACAAAGGTATTATAACTTTGTTCACATAACGGTTGTTTGTAACAGGCAAAGCGAATCGAGATAGATGTAGACAAATGTATATCTACATAAATAATTAGAATGAAAAGAGAAATCGATTAAGCGGTGACTGTCTGTCCGTCCGTCCGTCCGTCTGTGCACACGATACCTCGAGTAAAAATTGAGATATCTTAACGAAACTTGGTACGCGCACTTCGTTCTGACGTAAGACTGATGGTATTGAAAATGGGCAAAATCGGACAATAACCGCGCCTACCTCCTATATAACGGTAATTTTCCGAAATACGAAAATGCGATATTTTAGTAACTACTGAAGGTTATTCACTCAATATTTATATTTATAATAATTTTGGACGAGAAATAAGAATATTATAAATTTTTAGAAAATGGGCGTAGCCACGCCCACTTATGGTTACATATGTATATCTTGATAACCGCTGCACCAATTTCTCCCAAACTTGGCACAGTTGTTGGCCTTGGTACAGTATACCGAACGGCCGAAAATTTTAAA